TTAAACTTAGTCATGAATTAAATAGAACATTTTAAAACTTTTTTTAAAAGAAGCCAAAGTTTTGGTATTCTTAAGATCACTAGATAAAGAGCTCCAAAGTGCAGAGCTGCAATGATTAAAAGATGARCGCTATATAACCTTAACATCTGTGTGTTCTTAGCTTGGAATCAAGTATGGAGCTCCCCTGAAACAGTGCCGTCACCTTCTTAAAGTTGCACAAGACCTTGGGCTGAATGTGGTTGGAGTGAGGTAATAATCTACTTGTTGATGTCCAGAATAATACTATATGTATGCATGCGATAGAACTAAGTTCAAGTAATTTTTGTTGTTTCAAGAAATGATTTTTTTTCTGTTCTTAGTTTTCATGTTGGCAGTGGTTGTTATGATGCTAGTGCTTATGCTACAGCAGTACTTTCGGCACGCAGTGTTTTTGATTTTGCTGTAAGTATACTACATCATTATTATGATTATGATTTATAGAGAAATCTTATAAAAGAAATTAAGAAAATTGCAAAAACATTACCAATTTTAAAAAGTTTTCTGCGTAGTGACATTATTGTTTTTTGTTTTTTTAATATTGAGAYTTATTCTTTACATCCTTTCCTAAAGGGCCAGTTTGGATTCCAGTTCAACTTGTTGGACATTGGAGGAGGTTTCCCAGGAACCCCAGATTCAGCCATCACCTTTGAAGATGTAAGCAAACAGTTTTAATGGTTCTACTTGTTACACTAACTGATGGAAAAACCTAGATTCAAAATTTTGTCTTTGCATAACCATTCAAATGTTAACCTTGGACAGCAATAGATTTTTGAAACCTTAAGGACTCCTAGAAATCTTGTGCTTTATCCCAATTTCTTATAATTTGCTGGCATTTTTCTAGGTCTGCAACACCCTCAACCCCTTGTTGGATGAACATTTCCCACCTAGTTCTGGAGTGAAGATCATTGGTGAACCTGGACGTTACTACAGTGCATCAGCATTGACCCTGGCTGTTAATGTTTTTGCTAAGCGTGTGGTGCCTCACAGCCAATTCCAAGAAGGAGAAAAAGCAAAAACAGTCAGCATGGTCTCCAAGAAAGATGAGCAGTTGGTAAGATAAGAATAATGTGTATTGTTTTTTAGAAACCAAGTGATGATGATTATTATGATGTTTTATAATAAATTTAATTGAGACATTGATGCATGTGATGCATAATGATGACGATACAGTACTTGTTTGTTTCAGGGGTACATGTACTAYGTCAATGATGGAGTGTATGGGTCATTCAATTGCTTGGTATTTGACCATGCTATTGTTGTACCAAAGACCTTGATTGAAACTGATGGCAATGCTCTGTACCCCTCTAGCATCTGGGGACCAACCTGTGACTCCTTGGATTGCATCACTAAGAATGTGGCCCTGCCTAAGGTACATTAATTATTTATTTAAAAGTCACTTGAAATATTTTTTACTTTTACTAGAAAATTACCTATTATTTATGGAATCCATGGTTGAGAAATACAAGCTTGTCAGCCAATGCTAGTACTGATAAATTGATGAAGCCAGGCATTAAAAAAATAGACCCCTTGCAGTATGTCCGTATGCAGCTCAATAGGACGTTTACATGATTACGTCATTGACCTCTACTACCAGACTCCCTTGCACAATAATTTCTTTTGTCCAGTTACAAGGAATACAAACTTAAATAAGAAAGAAAATTCACAAAGCATTATGGGAGTCAATTGACACCATGCAAACGTCCTATTTGTAGGACATAATAAGTTTCCAATTCTTTTGAAATTCAAATTTATTTTCTCCTTCAAATTAAGGTGCTTTGAGACCACATGCAAGGGTTCTATGTTTGATCATTTAGCATTCTATTGCCAGTTTTCACATGACGTCATCAAAACKTCAAAATCTAAACTATTGATGRTATAAAGGCATTTCTCAAGTATGTTTTAGAAACTAGTGTTATAAGTCACAAGAAAAAATCTCGAGTCATTTCGACGTTTGGTTCCCGAGTTATGAAGGTTGAGTTTGTGTCACGCAATACCATCACGTCTATCTAAATAGCGATTAAAATAGTAAAAAAAATTACTCTAGTTGAAAGATTTTCCCTTAGACACGTTTGAAATATCTATTTAAAGTATATTTAAGTGAAAAATAGTCAAGCATATTATTAAATATTCCATCATCTTAAGCCTTTGAAATTTCGTCTGCCATGATGGTGTACCAACTTGGAACACCAAGATGGCCGCTCCATACATTTAAACCAAAAATTGCATCATGTTTACTCGCCTATAAATCAGCAACGAAATGCTTTACAGCCTCAAAATTTGGCCGGAATATGTAGTTTTGACCGCTTTACAAGATTATGAAAYTTTTATTTCTTTATAATGTGAATTTACGCTTTTGTAATTCATGATGACGTAGGTGAAAACCAATMATTGTGAAGGCTGAATCTTAAGGCTTAGAGACACATTTGGTTTTTTATTTGTTTGTTTTTTTATTTGTTTTCTTTTTTATTTGTTTTCTTTATTGTTTTAAGGTTGAGGTTGGTGACTGGTTGTACTTTGAGAACATGGGAGCCTACACTTCTTCATCAGCCTCCACCTTCAATGGGTTTAACAAACCATTCAAGTACTACACTGTCAATCAGCAGTACTGGTAAGGATGAATTCAATGATAACTGCCTTTTAATTCTTCGTTTGCACATTACGTCATCGCGGCCATGTTGGTGCCATTTAACAAAAGATTTCTCATTAGCATCCATTGTTAATGGTACCACACAATGGCCGCCATGTTTTTGTCTTTTAACTCTCTTGGGAATGCTTGCAGGCTGAAATGAATGTGAATGGTTATCATATGKGTTCAAACACTTGAGGTCAACCATGTTCAACACATTAAGATATCCAAGTCAAATGTGCTGCATGTGTGAAGGGTTATACCTTTGCCATGGCTTGCCTAAAGGGCAAATCAGTATTTCGGTATCATGTGTTATGTGTCACCCAATTACAGC